TATGGGGGCAGTGGTGGTAAAGTGTGTAAGGGAAGCACAGTGTGCCTGCAGTTAGGCAGAGCTAGAAGTTTATGGTGAGTGCAGCTCTAATCCCAGCACCAGGAAGCCGGGGACAAGAGGACCCCCAGCCTACCTGAGTTCCAAGCCGGCTAGAGACCCTCCCCAAATAAACATAGGTGGGGTGTGCCTCAGGAGCAACCCTTGATGTTGTCCTCTGGTCTTCACATGCACGTCTACACATGTGCACACCCCTCTCACATGCACCTACACACAAACACATCCCTATTATTTAAGGAATTTTCATTGTGCATCAGGGTTTCAATGTTGGGTTCACTATAATATGTTGTTTCTTGATTCAAGACTGATTACAGTTCAAAGCTATTGGAAAGTTTTCAAATATCCAAGTATTTGGTATAATGCAGATAGTTTCCACCTGTGAACATGTAAACGATGAAACATATTGTATAAAAACACTAATATTCCATCTCTCTAAACCATCGTGTAATCAGTGAAACATATTGTGTAAGAACATTGATATTCCCATCTTTCTAGACCATTGGTTCTCAACCTTCCTAATGCTGCGACCCTTTCATATAGTTTCTCATGTTCTGGTGACCCCAACCACAAAGTTATTTTGTTGCTACTTTGTAACTGTAATTTTGCTACTCTTATTCATTGCAATATAAATATCTGATATGCAGGATATCTGATATGCAACCCCCAAAGGGCTCATGGCCCACATGTTGAGAACCACTGCCCTAGAGCCTGCCTTTCCAAACAAAGGTGATGATCCCTATTGAAGAGTGTTAAGTGGAAGAGACCTCACAAAACTATTGGTTCAAAACTGTATGTTAAGTTCAAATGCAATAAATCTTCAGGGGAGTTTTGGGTAAAAAAAAATTCCAATCATTGAAAAGTCAACTCAGGCTAAGGATTGTGGCACACACCTTTATTTCCAGCATTTGGAAGGCAGAGGCAGAGGCAGGCAAATCTCTGTGAGTTCGAGGACAGTCTGGTCTACATAGTGAGTTCCAGGACAGCTGGAACTACATGTCTCAACAAACAAACAAGCAAAAAAAAAAAAAAAAAAGAAAAAGAAAAGAAAAACAAAACAAAAAAAACCCAAAAAACAAAACACCTCACTCTATAGTATTTGGAAAAATTAACAATTTTTTTCTACTAAATATCTACTTATTCTCATAGGAAAATATATTTCAAAGCACAAAATGATTTCATAGCCACAGCAAAATCAACCTAGAAAATATGAGTGCCCCTTTGAGAATTCTAAACAGAAACTAAAGCCATGGACAGACCCCATCACAACGCACCAACTCTGAGTTTTGAAGACAAAACAAACCAGAGTAGTATTTTTTTCATCTAATAAAACTATTGACTTCCAAATATTGATCCCATTTTAAACTAGAGGAAAACCCTAAATAGTGCAGACCGTTCTATTCCTTCCCAACCAGCTCTTTGAAAGGAAGCTTTCTCCTCAGGATGATCTTAGGAGATGGACAGTCATGCAAGAATCACTGAGGACTGAAAACTCAGACTTGGGAGTAGAGGGTAGTCCTCTCTGGACGCAAACCTCCCAGCTCTATTCTCCTGGTGACTCTGTTCAAGGAATTTAAGGTTTGGATCATTTATATCCACAAACTGGTTTGTAAGAAAAAGCAAACAGTGTGAAAGCAGTGGCGGGTTGGCACTGACAAAGCCTGTCTTAGCAATCAGTGCAGGTGGCACCATGTCTCACCATCACCCAGATCACTGGGCATTAGACATCAAGCTGCCAAGAAAATGAACAGACAAAGACTAGTGGCCACCAACCACTTGTCAATTATTCTGAAGCTGTATTTTCTTTCCTTCTTTCTTTTTTTCTTCCTTTCTTTCTTTTTTTTTTTTTTTTTTTTTTTGGTTGTTTTTGAGACAGGGTTTCTCTGTGTCTATTTGGTGCCTGTCCTGGATCTCGCTCTGTAGACCAGGCTGGCCTCAAACTCACAGAGATTCGCCTGGCTCTGCCTCCTGAGTGCTGGGATTAAAGGCATGCACCATCACCGCCCTGCTGAAGTTGTATTGTCAATTCCAGCTAAACAGATATCTTCAGAGCATCTTAAAGAAAATGTACATTGCTGTGGGATGGTCTGTATGTCAAATGCTCTGATTGGTCAATAAATAAAACACTGATTGTCCAGTGGCCAGGCAGGAAGTATAGGCGGGAGTAACAGAGGAGAATTGAGAGGACAGGAAGGTGGGAGGAGACAAGCAGCATGTGAAGACGCCGGTAAGCCACGAGCCACGTGGCAAGGTATAGATTTATAGAAATGGATTAATTTAAGATGTAAGAACAGTTAGCAGAAGCCTGCCACGGCCATACAGTTTGTAAGCAATATAAGTCTCTGTGTTTACTTGGTTGGATCTGAGCGGCTGTGGGACTGGCGGGTGACAGAGATTTTTCATGACTGTGGGCCAGGCAGGAAAACTCTAGCTACAGTACATAAGAAACTAACTGGAGGGTGTACATGCCTATAAACCCACCATTTAGGAAGGGACATGGTGGACAAAAGATCTTGTGTTCTAGGCTAGCCTGAGCTGCATAACAAGACCCTCAAAAGAAACTATTACTAACCATTAAAGAGGGTAAAGTACAAAACAGGTTCATCACTCAATGGGCTTTTTGAAAGTGATCCAAGAGCAGCAGGACACCAGAACTCTCCTGCAAATGCCAGGATCCAGGAAAGCCACCAGCACCTAAGTGGCTCCATTTAAGGGCCAGCCCCCCCCCCCCCCCCCCAGGTGATTGGCACCGAATACACAGGACACATTATGTCTCAGTTCTCAGTCCCCACACAGGGAAGAGACCTCCTGACTCTGGGCTCCAAAGCCATTTCCTGCTGCACTTCTCAGAACTGTGAGTTTTCAGGGGTAAAATTCTGAGCATTAGGAAAAGCTCTCACATGTCACCACAGTAGAAATGAAGCCAAGAAATTGCGTGAAACACAGTTCTCATTCAGACGTCAGCACAGTTTCAGAAACATAGTCTATTTGGGTAAATGTGCAGTGCAACTGGTTTCTCCACCTTTTAAATCATTAGCCCCAAAGACTGGTTTGGGGGGAAGCAAAAGTACATTTCATAGCACTATTTTATCATGCCTTGGGTAGGAAACAACATCATTAAGAAGGGACAGACAATCCCTAACTCCAGCATTTATATATGTTCAGGTCACCAATTCCTTTCAAAAATGATGCCCAAAGCTGGGGCGATGGCTCAGTAGATAAGGACACTCACTGTGCAAGCTTGAGGACTGAGTTCAGACTCTGAGCAACCATGTAAAACACTAGGAACGGCCAAGCACCTGCAATTCTGGAGCTGGAGAAGGCAGAAACAGGAGGATCTACTGGGCCTTTCGGGCCACCAGCCTAGCTCCAGGTTTAGTGAGAGACCCTGTCTCAAGGGACTAGGGCAGTGAACAGCACCTGACACCTCCTCTGGCCTCCATGAACCAGTACATCCATCTGTGTCTCTGCATGCACGCGTGTGCCTTCATCATACATACACACAAGGATTCCATTTGATTTCAAAACGCCCTGTGATATAAGAAGGAGGATATTTCTGTCATATTTACAGAGGAAGGAACTTAGGGACTTGGACTGGTTAGAGAAATTGTAGACTCCAGGTCTCCAAGGTCACCCTCCCCTCCTCAGCAGCCCTGGGAACCACCTACTGTCTCCTGTTCCATTCATGGTGCCTTTCAAGTGAGCTGCAGTCCACTTCAGACTAGACCTAGAAGAGCAACGTATGATTTTTTTTCTTTCCTCAGCCAAATGTTGCACAGAGCAAAATCAGCAAGCATTTTCTGATGGCTCTCCCCCTTTTATTTACTTTTTAAAATTAACATACAACTAAAAAGCTCCCATATGGTATTTTCAATACATTTAGTCTCAGTTGTTTCTCCAAGCTGCCTCCCTTCCCTGATGTCTCTGCCCTGGATATAGTAAAAGGCTTTTAATGTGGCTAATGACAGGAATGGTAACCTGAGAATTGTATAGAACAATTGTGGATTTATGTATCAACATCGAAAGCTAACCCAAATCAGTGACTACATTTGCTTTCACGTTTCCTTCAGATGTATTCCCAGTTTACATAGAAAGACTGAAGAAGAGAATCGTCCTGGGCTCCCCATCCCCTACCCTCCCACTAAAGGTCTCATATGATAGAAAGAACACTGGGGGATGCATGCTGCAGTGCACTTGAAAAAGATAATAGTGTCAAGGAAAGCCTGAAAATGGCCTGCCTCACACAGAGCCACAGGGCAGACAGTCTTCCCTCGGTACTACCCAGTTCCCTCACCATTACAGAGGGGGAAGTACCAAACAGGCTTATCACTCAATGGGCTTTTTGAAAGTGACCCACGAGCAGCAGGACACCAGGGCTCTCCTGCAAATACCTGGCTGCTCCCAATGGCAGATATTCCTCCTGTCTGCTGTGTCAGGATGGGAACTCATGGCCTGGCAGCCTGTGACTGAAGGATACTGTCAATCATCTCACACACCCTGCCTGCCTACTTAACAACACACACACACACACACACACACACACACACACACAAAGTTACAAACACACACATAAACAAAACCATGCACATGCATACATGCACACAGTCACAGATACAAACATGCATGAGCACACACAAAGGTAAACAAATATGTACAAAGACAGCTTATACAAATGTATACACATAATACACATAGGAACATAAACACAAGTATACTCTATACACATAAACTCACACAAGACAAAAAGACAAACACTGACAACACACACAAGGACGTAAATACAACACAAGACACAACATGCACAAACACACATACACATACAAACACACACAAACACAGACCCCGATTACAGTCATGTGTCTCACCACTGGCCCCAAAACACCAGAGTCAAGTGGCTGTGGACTGAAATCTCTGAAACCACTTCCTCCCGTATTTGACTTTATCAGGTATTTTGCTGCTGCGATGGAAAAGTGACCACCATGACAGTCACTCCTGGTCACGTCCACAATCTACAGTTGGGATTGTGTCATCCGCGTGCCCCACCTCCGGGAATCCTCAAGACTCTGGGATGCAGAGAGGGAGCCTAGCTCCATCGTTTCTAACGAAAGCAACAAACTGGAGTTGATCGAACTACAGAGTTGGTAAATTCACAGCCAGACCCAGGAATGCAGGAAGAGCCCAGGACCTCAGCTGTGACCACCTGTTGATTTGGCTTCCTTCTGTGCTGGGTTTGTTCAGGTAGCACTTACCCTCCTCAGCCATCCACACTCAATAATCATTGGCTTCACTCAGGTCATGTGACCAGCCCCCACGACACCCTGACCAAGGGATGAGACATACTAACTGGCTAGATATTCGTCTAGTGTCTGTCCCTAGACCCAAAAGTGAGGGCTTATCCTACCCTCAAACACTGACCCATGTTGAGACAGTCTAAAAAAGGAGATGTTCCTACCAGAATTACTAAAAGAAAATTACTACTAATAAAATAGATGTAAAAAAAAAAAAGAAAATAAATAAAAATTTGGTAATAATAAAATTAGTAAAGAAAAATTCAGGGATTGACCTGTTAAAAAGAAAGGAAATACAACAGTAATAACTCAGTATAGTATGTTCAGGAAGACATAGACCTACCTCACTATTGGCAAAGGTAGGGTCCTCTGAGGCCTAGCAGATCTCACTTATCTCAATGTACTTAACTGACCTAAAGAAAAGAGATCCTTGATACCTTGATATATGCATTTCACAGTGAACCTCATACTATTAAGTTTATATGTAAAGAGCCTGGTTTGAATCCAGTCCTGGGAATTTGTCCATAGTATGTTTTAATATTCTCTCTCTCTCTCTCTCTCTCTCTCTCTCTCTCTCTCTCTCTCTCTTCTCTCTCTCTCAAATATACACAGAGAGAGGGAGAGAGAGAGAGCACCTTGGGTTTCTTTTTTGTTTTCATTTCATTTTCTTTTCTTTTTTTTTTCTTTCTTTTTCTGAAATACTCTTCATTGGCCTGGAGCTCACCACTTAGGCCAGGCCGACTGGACATCAACTCCTTGGGATCTGCTGGAGTGCAGGTGTGAGAACTACTTTTCATATCCCCAGAGCCCACACAGATGTTAGGTGGGCATGGAAGTCCATCTGCAGTTCCAACGTCAGAAGACACAGGAGATCCTCCCTCTGAGCAAGCTGGTAGCATAGAGGTGAACTCTTGGTTTGACTGCCAAGATCTTGCCTCAGTGAATTTAATGAAAGAGCAATCAAGGATCCACATAAATGCATGCACATGTGCACCTCCCATACAGGTGCTCTCACGTTATGCAAAATATGCATACATACATGCACGTGTACACACACACACACACACACACACACACACACACACACACACACACACGAGGAAAATAGAAAAAGTGTTTCGGTGGTATTTGTGCCTGAACTGGTGGAAGCTTGCTTATCTTGGCCATCATCCAACATGATGCTTCCTCTTCAGCATTCCGGAAATCCACTGAAAGAACAGTCTGGATACAGCTGTGCTGGTACTGAGTGCCTTTTCATTTTAATATAAAAAGGCAGAGGATTTCCCTTGTAAGGCAAGAATAAGATTTGATACCTCATCACAAACACTACTTTTTAATCATCTCTGTAGTAGCAATAAGCCAGAAACACAGTCTCACAGTTTTCTTTTTTTTATTACTTCTGCAATAGATGACATTTTGAAAGTGGGAAACTTAGAAATGAAATTCTTTTGTGCCTGCTTTGCTGAATGAATGTCAGAATAATTTCTACCCCTACAGAGATGGGTCATGAATTCCCTGAAGACTTTGCCCCAGAAAACAATGTGTAAGACAAAAACATATGTGTTGTTACTTTGATGCTAGGTGATTGGATAGTCCCTGGGAAATAAAAACGGGAAGTGTAACAAAAAGTGAATTGGGCACTGTGTAATTGATAAGCTGATTGCTTAGGCTTGAAGGATGTCTCTTGAGAATATAAAATCACTGCTTTTGGGAGCATCTGAAATGAGTCATTTATGGGGCAGGAGAAGTGAGCAATGCCTACTGTTTTCTTCCAATTTTCCTGTCTCCTTGGCTAACACACTTCTGGCTTATGTTACCCAGTCCCCACACACACCTACTGGGATTTACAGCTGCCCTGTGGTCTCGTCCAAGCAAAGCACAGGTGTGGTGGTCTTTCCTTGTCAGTGGCCACATAATGATAGCAGCAGCATGAGCCATTTCTAGAACATTCTGGCCAATCAGCAAGGCTACTAGGTGAGGCAGGAAGCACAGAACTGGGAAGAGGGACAGAACTGGGAAGAGGGACAGAAGCTGGGCCTAGCACACATAACCAACAGCTTCCCTCTTCAAATGTAAGTTACTCCCTCACATTTCTGGGGGCCTCACCCAGTGGCACGTGCCTCACCCAGCCTTCTCATCCACTCAGGGATGAGACTGACTTCTGTCTTCATTTAGTCAAAGAGCTGGAAAATCAATTCCAGTGATTTTCTTTTTGTATTTCCAGCCCCTTTCAATACTTAACTCAAAATTTAAGTTTATTGTTAATCACTAGTTGATGGTCAGTAACTGTTTTTGAAAGTCATCCATTGAATACATAAGCATGTGGCTACAGGCTTCCTCTGTGTTCATGCTGTATACTGCCATGACAGAAAGAGAGAAGTGGGGACGTGGATGCAACTGGAGATGACTGCATTAAGTCAGATGACTGAATTAAGGTGACCCAAGAAGGCCAGGTACTGTATGTTTTCTTTCATGTGGTTCCGTGATTGCAGACAGATACATAAAATCATGTATGTGTGGATGACATGAAAGGAGAGTGAATTGTCTAGGGAACAGGGCAACTACTGGGAAGGGGGGACCTGACAAGAGGGACAATAGAGGACCATGCACTCTTAATGACAGCAAGGCCACTCTCAGGCAGTAGCAGGTTTTAAGGAGTACAATGAAAAAAATGTCAGCTCTGTGGTGGCTTCTGTTCTTCTAGAGGACCAATCTTCATAAAGAGAAATACAGAACAAAGGTATTCTAAATGCTCACAGGGGGAGGTGGCTTTAGGGGAAAGGTTTGTAAAGGACACAATGGAAAAAAATTTGAAGAGATAATGAGAAAAGGCTGGAATATAGTGCTCTGGTTGAGTTGCCTCAACCTGTGGAATTCTGTGTATTTGTTTTGGGGGGAGGAGGAAGAGAGAGATAACCACAGGGAAAGTGATTTCCCTGTTAATCAATGACTAGATGGAAACAAGCTAGGATGTGATCAGCAAAGATTTACGAACTCAGTGTGGAGTAGGGATTTTGGAAGACACCACAAGGAAACCAACAGTCAGTATCACTAATGGATATAGATGCTGAAACCAAGAAAATCCTGAAACAAGAACCCAGCTGCACATTGGAAGTGTTACAAGCCATGGCTGACGAGAACCGATCATTAGGGTGTTCAACATTTACGAATCCATAAACGTGATAGCTTCGCAGAATGGATGCTCATCCCAGTAGGTGCAGGACAATGACAAAATGAGACATCATTCAAGATAAGAAAACACAATCCCCAAACAAAGTAAGTATAAGAGAAACTCCCCTCACCAGAATACTAGCTGTATATAGAGTCCACAGCTAACTACAATGTAACTACAGTAGAGAATCTGAACCATTCCTCTCTAAGTACAAGGTGATAACTTCTACTCTCACTACTCCTGCTCAACACAGTGCTAGAGAGACTAGTCAGAGCAACAAGGCAAGAAAAAAAATGACTCTCAAGAAAACAGGAAGAAGTAAAATTATCCTTGCTTGCAGAGGGCATGATCAAGTGTGGAGAGGACAGTAACACACAGCAGCAGCGGCAGCAGCAATGAAGTCTGTTAAAATAGGAAACATGTTTAGTAGCGTCAGAATGAAACAAAACACAAAAACCATGAAAGCCTGTGTCATTTCTATGATAAGAACTTAATAGAGAGATAAAGGGACTGAACCATGCCCATTCAAACAATTATTAGGGGAAAAAAAAAACTGTCAGTAAAGACAGACTGAAAAACGGGTTTGAGTGAAGGAGAAGTTCTCCATAGAAGGAAGAGGGCAGGAAGATAGAGACCTGTTGTTAGGCTAGTCTTCTTAGAGCAATTTACTCTGCAGGAACTCCCCAGGGCTCGGAGAGAACATGTCAATCTATTCTAAAACCAGCATCCCCAAATTTCCAAAGCACCTCCACTAGCCCAGTGTCCACATCCATGTCACACACAAGAGACATTCACCTCCATCCCCAAAGTCCCAACCGAATGAAGAAATCTCTCAACATTCAGGTCCAAAGTCTCATTTGAAACTCAAGGCAAACTCCTTTGATCTGTGAGACAGTAGAATCAAAAGAAAAATCTGAAGCAGGGTGGGTAGCTCATGCCTGTAATCACAGCACTTGGGAAGCTGAGGCAGGAGGATTGCTGTGAATCTCAGGCCAATCTGGGCTACATAGTGATAGGTTTTAGGAGACCCTGGGCTATGGTATGAGAGAGACCCTTTCTTCTTTTCTCTTCTCTTCCTTTCTTTTTAGTTCTGTAATTCAAAGGTGAGACAAGGCTAGGACAAGCGTTCCTATTTCAAAAGAGGGAAGAGTACTGTGTATAATTCCAGACTGAAGCCCAGCAGCAGAGACAGTGAAGCTCGACCTCCAGCATCCGATGGTGCACACCAAGGTGGGCGTGGCCCAGAGGCCTTGGAAGGACCCACTCCATAAATGCTGGCCGACCTGTGTGGCAGCTTTCTCAATTGTACACTGACACCTGTGGCTTTCAGAGGCTGACATTATATACAGCTGGTGGCTCTTCCTTCCTGGAGTCTCGAGAATAACAATGGCGCTCAGCTGCAGTTGGCATCCCTGTGGAGAACAACTCTGCCCCTGAAGCAGACCTCTTCCAGGCCCAGCAGGCTCTCTTTTGAAATCTCAGTGTGAACCACTCTGACCCTGTAACTCTTGTGTGTCGCCTGCTTGCAGAATCGGCACTCGGAGATGCCAAAGCTAACTGAAGACACCCATTGGAGCAGTAACATCAGCCACCCTGGAGTAGCCTTCGAGTGCCTTGCTGGACACGAGGGATCAGGCAGGGAGCCCATGGACAGCACAGAGGCCGGCCTCTGAAACACTTGGGCCCCTGCTCTGTTATGGACAAGGCTGCCTCACAGATTCCCGGGGTGACAGCTGGGCATCTTTCTTTCCCAGTTTTCTTGTGTTCAGGACTTTGGCTTTCTTTCTCTTGGCTAATCTCTTTAGTGAACAACTGCTGACCAGACTCTTTTCTCCTCAGCATCTGTTTTTTGGCCTTTTCTGGATAGGCTGTGATTTTTCTAAATATTTTTGCTGTGTTCTTTTTTGTTTTTGTTTGTTTGGAGACAGGAATTCTCTGTGTAGGGGTGGCTGTCTTGGAACTCGCTGTGTAGACCAGGCTGGCCTCAAACTCACAGTGATCCACCTGTTGGTTAAGCGGCACCGCCTGCGGTGGGCATGCCAACAGATGTTGTGGTGGCGGAAGACTCATCAGTCATGGTTACCTTTCTAGAGCTTTACTGGGAGAGAAGGAGAGAGAGAGAGAGAGAGAGAGAGAGAGAGAGAGAGAGAGAGAGAGAGAGAGAGAGAGAGAGAGAGAGACCGCACAGAGGGGAGAGAATATGGAAGGAGAGAGTGCGGAAAGAGAGGGTACAGAGAGGGCACGCCCGCTTTTTAGGCTGGGACGCCGTCACAGGCTGGTGACATAATTAAGGACATAATCCTTATACCACCTGCTTCTGCCTCCCAAGTATTGGGATTAAAGGCGTGCACCACCACCACTGCCGGGCTTGCTGTGTTCTTTTTCATTTTCCCTCTGCCTCAGGACATTGCTCCCAAATCCTACCGCACACAGTAAGAAGTAACAAAGCAGCCAATTCAAGGCTTGGATGGCTAGAGATTTCGCCCACTAGGTTTTTAGCACTCTTAAACTTCATCTTTCCTGAGCATATGCAAACTTCAGCTATGTTCTACATTGCTTTATTTAAAATAAATAAATGTTTGTTTATAAATTTATAACAAATCACCTTATATGGTGATTTTTTTCCCCTCCAATTTCAATTCTTAGTCTTGCTCTTTAAGGCCCCACCAAAAGCATCTATAAGACTCCATGTGCAGCTATTTAGGCTCTTAAAAGTCCAACTCTCAAATTCTTCCTGTGCCTGCTCATTACCTAGTTAGAAATCTGAGTCCACACTTTAGGGCATTGCTAGAGCAAACAACTCGATCTTGATAAAAGTTTTCTGAGCTAGTCCATTTCCTATAGCTATAACAAAAGAGAAGGGAGATTTTATTTAGCTCATAGTATTAGAAAGTGAAGGCCAATATCAGGATTTTTTTTTTTTTATCTCTAAGGTATTTGGTAAAGCCTTATAGCAGATAACATCACAATGAGGGGAATGTATATTGAAAAAGACATGTCACGAGGTTAACTGCATTAAACTCTACCAAGGACAGTCCTGCTAATGATCTGACCACCTCCCACCAACGTCTCTAATCTTCCATCACCTCAAGGAAGAACAAGTCTCCAGCACAAAACACTCTGGGGATCAGTGCCTCAGAGGCCAGGAGTGTTAAGGAATGGAAAGAATGTAGAAGTCAGAGGATGTGAACAAGTGCTACATAACACTTCTGTCTGGAGTCAACAGGGCCTTTGCAGTCATGCACACACAGCGGCTATGCACACCTGCACAAGACTGAGCCATTCAGCACTCCATTAGGGAGAGGAGGCAGTGCCCACGGGACACCACACCTCCTGAGGACCTGTTAGCGGTTAGTGGTTACAGGAAGGCATTTTCTTCTGTGGTGTGGTGTAACCACTTCGAGTTGTCCATGCTCCAGCAAATAGCCTGCTACCCATACTGAAGCAAGCGCCTACTTAAACCCAAGGAAAAAAGAAGTCACGAAAGTAGGAAAGGAGAGGGAAGCAAGAAAGGATAACAGCCAGTGGGCAAGATGACTCGGCCTGTAAAGGGATCTGCCACCAACCCTGATGACCAAGTCAATCTAGGACCCACATAGTAGAAGGAGAGAACAGATGCCCACAAATTGTCCTCTGACTGTGGTGTGCATGAACCCACACTATACCTATACACATCACACACACACACACACACACACACACACACACACACACACACACACCTGTATACTAACATGCACATACCACAAATAAATAAATGAAATATAATAAAAGAGAAAATATACATAATGAAAGGAAATACACTCTTTGGAAACTTGACAGAAAGCAGCGTGTTGTGAGGTAAGATGGTTCACGCAGAGCTGTCAGATTTCCAAGTCCTGGGTATAGAAGTGTCACTCTAGACGCGAACAAACAGAAAAAAGACCGGAAGGAAATGCACACAGGTGCTGTTAGTAGTCATGTCTGAGTGGGGAGATAGGTATATAATCTTTCTTCTTTCCTAAGTTATATATGCAATGAAACATATGATTAAGTATTACAAAATAAATAAGAAAATAACATTCAGAATTGAAGGAAGAAAGAAAAGGAAGGAATGAAGAAAGGGAGGGAAGAGACTTATTTATTGTGTATGATGTGTATATGTGTGTGTAATGTGTGTACATATGTGTGAGTTGTGTGTGAGTGTAATGTGGGGGGGCAGTTCTGGGGTGGGGGAATGTGGGTACATGCCATGGCTTGTGTGTGAAGGTAAGGGAACTTTTGAGAGTTGGTTCTCTCCTTCCACTATGGATTTTAGGGATTGAACTCAGGTCATTAGATGTGAACAGCATGTGCCCCTACCTACTGAGACATCTTGTTGGCCCCAGAAAGGTGTATTTCTAACAAATAACACTGAAGCAACTTAATGTCAGTTTTCAGGTCAATGTAAATCAAAATTATAATGCTATTTCATTTTTCACCAGTTAGGAAGTCTATAATCAAAGACAGGTGATAACAAGTATTGGTGAGGATGTGCTGAAATCAGAATGTTCAAACAGGGGTGGGGGAATGGCACATGATACAGTCATTTTGGAAAAGACTCTGTGATTCCTCAAGTGATTCAACTTAGGCTCACTTTTAACACCAAGAAAAAAAACACCAATCAACACAAAACATGTGTACAGGAACATCAGTAGCATTTTTCATAGTAGTTTAAAAGGAGGTGGGGCAGAATCCACCTGTTCATCCACTGAAAAATGAATAAATAAAAGGTAGCATATCCTTATAATGGAATATTATTTGGCAATAAAAAGGGATGAAGAATTGACACATGGTTCAGCAGGCTGAATCTCGAAACATGCTAACTGTAAAGAGTTAATCACAAAACAAAATATATATATATAGCTTCCATTCATACACAATGTTCAGAATAGACAAATCTATAGAGACAGTGCTGTTGGATGTTCTGTATGCTGTGACTGTGTTGCTCTGATTGGTTGATAAATAAAATGCTGATTGGCCAGTAGCCAGGCAGAAGTATAGGCAGGATAAGCAGACAATGAAAATTCTGGGAAGAGGAAAGCTGAGTCAGGAGACATAAGCCCGCCGTCCAGGGAACAGCATGTAATGGCACACAGGTAAAGCCACAGAACATGTGGCAACATATAGATTAACAGAAATTGGCTGAATTTAAATGTAAAAGCTAGTCAGTAGTAAGCTTGAGCTAATGGCCAAGCAGTTTTAATTAATATAAGCCTCTGTGTGTTTACTTGGGTCTGAGTGGCTGCAGATTGGGCGGGACACAGGAAAGCTCCAACTGCAAGACAGAAAGCAGATAAATGGTTCCTGGGAATGATATGTCCATATGTCAATCAAGTATTTTAAAAGGGCAGGGGTAGAGAGATGGCTTAGCAGTTAAGAGTACGTACTTTACTTGCAGAGGACCCAAATTTGGTTCCCAGCACTCATGCAGGGTACCTCACAGCTGCCTATAACTCCAGCTCCAGGGCATATGACTTCTTCTTCTGAGCTCTGTAGGCACCTGTACACACATGGCACACACACACACACACACACACACACACACACAGGAGGGGGAAAGGGAGGGAGGAATGGAGGGAGAAAGGGAGGGAGAGAGAAGACAGAGGCAGAAGCAGAGACAGAGAGGGAAATTTAAATTGCATGCAGATCAGGTGGATGAGAGCTGGTTATGGTAGCCTTGTGCCACTGGAGCAGAGAGAAAGGGGCTTCAGGATACAGCACATGGCACAAAGTGCTGGGCAGGGCTGCAAATCTGAATTGTACTGGATGACCAAAAGCAGAGGTATGAAGGACTGACTACCTGCCAGGCGGACTTTCAATAGTAGGAGCTTTAGCAATGGCTGCAATGTGGTCTTTTGAGACTTTTCAAGGGACGGAGAGAGAAGCTACAGAGATTATCAGTTCCCCCAGGGATTTATTTTAGTCTGAACAAGCAGGGCCCATCAAGAAGCTCCACTTCATTCATATTTACACTAACTTTCTCAGCCTTAGCACCATGACTCAAGGAGCTGGAGACTTCTCGCCCTTTGTTGTGTGTGTGTGCGTGTACGCCTGCTGCAATGTTCAGTGGGATCTCCTTTCTACCCGTGAGATCTCAGGCGCACCCTACAGTACTTACTTTTCTCTATGCTGTAACCAGATAGCTGAGAAGAAGCTGCTTAGGGAGGAACGATTTCTTTTGACTGGCACTTTGAGGGGACATAATCCATCATGGCAGAGAAGGCCGGACAGCAAGAACATGAGGTAGCCTGTCACATTCCTGTAGCAACCAGGAAGTAGAAAGCAGCTAGGAAGTGGACTCAGGCTATAACACCTCTAAAGCATGGCCCACAGAGGCTATGGTGATCTGAATGAAAATGGCCCCCATAGGCCCATAGGGAGTGGCACTGTTAGGAGGTGTGGCCTTATTGGAGTAGGTGTGGCCTTGTTGGAGTAGGTGTGGCCTTGTTGGAGGAAGTGTGTCACTGGGGGTGGGCTTTGAGGTTTCAGAAGCTCAAGCCAGGCCCAGTGCCACTGTCTCTTCCTGATGCCTTCAGAACTAGATGTAGAACTCTCAGGTACTTCTCCTGCACCATATCTGCCTGCATGCCACCATGCTTCCTTCTGTGATGACAGTGGACTAAACCTCTGAACTGTAAGCTAGCCCCCAGTTAAATGTTTTCCTTCATAAGAGTTTCAGTGGTCATGGTGTCTCTTCACAGCAATAGAAACTTTAACTAAGACAGTGGTTGCAGTGAGGCTCCCTTCCTAAGGATTCTAGAATCTCTCAAAACAGCACCACCAGCTGGGAGCCAACTGTTCAAATACCTGGGCCTATGGGGACATTTAGTATTCAGACCACAACATACCTCTTCCTTCAGTTTGACAACCAATTATGTCTGAACCCAAATGTCACTTGGATACTTAGACCCTTCTGGTTGAGAACTACAAGTTTATATGTATGTTTTTATAAGTGGCTATAAATGGTTTTAATAGTAAATATTTAGCTAGCCAGCTCCTTAGAGGGGCCAAAAGCCTTTGTTTAGAATGCTTGTTGATTTGCATGGCGTAAATACTCCCTCAGTGCCTACTAATACTGTCATTCTGGCTTGCAAAATGACCATGGAGTTAACAGCCAACTTTTACTAGCCAACATTAGCCAGCTCCAGCACATTACAGATAAGGCAGAGCGTTCTGAGAGAACATTCTATCCTAGAATATCTGCTGCTACTGATGTCAGCATGATCCCTGGACCCAAAACTCCAACTTCCATGGTCTCCATTAACTGTGGACCTTGCCTCCTGTTCTCAGGATTCCCCGTGGGTCTAACCAGATGTGTTTTTCATTTGAATTTTTCTTCACAGAAACTTCCAGAGCCCAAGTCTGAAATGGAAAAGACACACATATCCCCACCCATCCACCCCTTGATTCCAGCAGGACTGAGCTCACGAGGCTGCTTATTTTCTCCTGGCCAGTTAAGCTAACAAATTGAGTTCAAGGCCTCTAGAGAAAACTCTTAATCATGTAGGCTGAAGGTCTTGGCAGATTCTGCCCCTCTTACATTGTTATTGAGTAATCAGTCAACTGGGTTGAGCTTCTGTAGCATGAAATGGTCCAAAGAAGAGGTCTTGAGGAGAGCATGTGTGGCAGGCTTGAGATGGCTGTCTGGACATGGGCCAATCCTGTCTCTGTGTTCTGGAAGGAAATGTAATGATGCAGGTGCAGAAGCAGAAAGCAGGGTCTTTAGGGATGATTCTGAAGATCCACCCGTGTGCTCATGTTTCTGAGGGGCTGAGCATCAAAGGTAGGCAAAGCTCCGCCCTGAGCTGGAGGCCTGTGTCCTCAATGCTGTGGAGCCTGATCACAGGCAATGCATTGCATTATCATTAAACTATTTCAATATGTGAGTGGACAGTGTGGGGAGTTGGTTCTGTAAAATATAGAGATAATTTTGACAAAACAATGCTTTGGCTTTACCAAGGATGACAAAAATCCATTAAACACTTACAAAAGGGTAAGTTTTAATAATGTTTCACTCAAACACCTATTCAAAGAGAAGTGAATGATGCCTGTGGAAGTATATCAGATGCTGTGTGAAAATGTTATAATAAAACCTATTATATGTATAGTTAATATATGCCAATAAAAGCTTTTAGATGTTAGAAAGTATTGCTGGTGTAATCACATATGCCTATGACAATGTAAGGACCTGATGGAGTTCCTAACTGGTTTCTACCTGCTTACACTGACTTCACTAATGAGTAGGAGCACACTGCTGTTTTCATTCATACCTAAGCTTCTTTAGGGTGGCAATGAGTTTTGTTTATTCTTTCATTCTGGCCTTTTATTTTAACTATCTTGCCAAGGAAACTACAACATGACATTATTTTAAAGATGAACTAACTACCTTGTCGCATATGTCTGCTTCCATCTCTTAAATGCTTCATTTGCCAAGTGAAAGAAGTCAGCTCCCTTCCTCCCAGTTCCATCCTCTGTACCAGCTCTGTGGTGATGAATACATGGAGACTGGGTCAGTCTCTACTTTTGGAGATTGTAATGTCATGAAGTAGACAAACACGAAACGATACATAAGTGCAGCGCTCATGAATGAGGGCTGATAACACACTCTCAGAAGGAACTTCCGTAAATTCCAGGGGGAAAGCCTTGGCAGTCATCACTCACTTAAACTTCCATTTACTCACTCTATAGCCTAGTGACTCCTCCTTGCTGTGCAGACAAGTGAACTACATTGATCACACTACACTTGAGAAGTAGTATTATTTAGATAGCCCAAACATCCTAGATGTCCCTTAACTTATGAGTCAATACAACACAGCATTTTTTTTATAATAATGAGGTGCTATAAGAATAGACTACTATAGGAAAGAAGAACTGATGCATGTTTCAGTTGGAAATATTTGACTCAGTAAAAGAAGTCAGTTACAAAACTCACATATATATATATCATTTATATATATACATATATAAATATATACATATGTATATATAAAATCTCATGTCCACAAGACGGCTAACTCAGGCAAATCTATGGGCAGAGTTGACTAAGGCTTCTGAGTGGAAGAGTACTAAGTGGTTGACAGTTATTGTTTATGGCATTTCCCCGGAGATGACTAAATTATTCATTCTAAGGCCAAGGACAATTGAATATTGTCTTAGTCAGGGTGACTATTGCTATGATGAAATACCATGATCAAAAGAAACTGGGAGAGGAAACGGTTTATTTGGCTTATGCCTCCACATCCCTGTTAATCATTGATGGAAGTCAGGACAGGAACTCAAAACAGGGCAGGAACCTGGAGACAAGAGCTGATTCAAAAACTATGTAAGGGTGCTGTTCACTGGCTTGCTCCCCATGGCTTGCTCAGCCTGCCTTCTTATAGAACCCAGGGCCACTTGCCCAGAGATGGAACCACCTACAATTGACTGGGCCCTCCAACATCAATCACCAATTAAGAAAATTCCCTAAGGCTTGCTTATAGTCTGATTTTATTGAGGTATTTTCTCAATTGAGGCTCCCTCCTCTCCAATGACTCTGGCTTGTGTCAAGTTGACATAAAACTAGCCAGCACACACATTTCTGTGAATATACTAAGAGCCATTTAGTCATCAGTTTTTTTCTATTATTTATTTTGAGACAGGGTCTTGCTAAGTTTCCCAGCCTGATCTTGAAACCCTGACTAGTTGGGATTACAAGTGTATCCCACCGTATCCAGCTCCATAGTTATATAGTTTCATATCTGTTTTTATATGTATGGGGGGGAAACCTGTGTGTGGGTTATACACATT